AAGACTAAAACAGAAAAAGTAAAAAGACATATAGTGGATTTTTCTAATGCATTTTAACTGATCTTGGGTATCATGACAAAGATATACTGTTCTCATCCATTAGCATGGTTAATATTTACTCTGTAGTGAATAAGAGACAAGGTATGAGAATGAAAGATATATATATCTATATCTCTCTATCTATCTGTCTATCTATGTATCTATATCTTCTATACAGAGAGCAAGGGTACTTCTTTGCATAGAACCATAAATACTTTAGGTTTTAATATGTGAAATTCCTGTACTCAACTAATAATATCCTGTAGTTGAAAAACACATTGTTTGCAAAACACTTTTATTTTTATAACTTTATTTGAACCTCAAACCAGCCTAGTAGAAAAGGTAAGTCAGGATTTGGAGCATTTTTTAATGTGTCCACTACACAGATGAATAAATTGAGGCTCAGAAAGATTGAGTTACTTACCCAAGGTCACATGACAAGCAATTGGCAGAGCCAGGTCTAGAACCCAGAAGAAGGGTTTATTCCACTACAAAGACATGAAACAGGACATTAAGCAAACAAAATAAGGCCTGCAAATAATTAAAGATGGGGAATATGGAGGGTCAAACCCCCACACTACAATGTAAACTCACAGCAAGTACGCTACTCTAATCTAAGCAGACGGGAAAGGGAAGTATAACTTTGACTACACCACCTTGTGAGGAGGACCAATAGAGTTGAATGTGGATTTACACCAAGTTAGTTCTGAAGAGGTATGTGAGAATGGTCTTGTGTCCCAAACATCTCCCCTAATGGACCCATCATGATGACCCTTCCCTTACTTCTTTTATTCCCTCAGTAAATATTTTTATTGAGAAGTTAATAGGTATCAGATACAGTTTACAATGTCTGTTTTGTCTAAAATACCCATTTGGAATGTTTTACATTTTTCTGAAAACTCTTCTTTCATAACCTTACCCACCCAACACTCGCCTGAGGTAGTGGTAATCAATAGGAAAACTACACCTGGACTTGAAAGCAGGACAAAAAAAATAGAATAACTCCAAAACAGAGATTGAGAACAATGTGTCTGATATAAAATAAGAGTATGGACATTGGGAAACACTACTCAACTTGAGCAGTTGAAGACAAATTTCATTTTGTCTTATTTCTCTTCTGAAGGCCATGCCAATTCAGTCAGAGAAAAATATACTACCTGGAGTAAGAAATATTTTCATGGGAAGCTGTGGTTATAATTTGCCTCGTATCAGGCACAATATACCTACTTCAGAATCCAAATCCCTTCAGCCTATTAAACCTAAAAAAGATAAAATTGATCTGATTCTCCTTCATTTTACATGACTTTTGAAGAACTACTTACCATTCAACCACCCTTTACCTCCATGCAAGATTTCTCTTTGAAGAATATTATTATGTGGATACTTCAGTGAAAAGGAAAGAATTCCAAAATGAAAATAAACTTAACTCTTGAATACAGGTCCCCGAGCACAAACCAGCCTATTTTGAACTTTGTGTGATCAATGAAATAAGTCAACTAAGAATAGCAAGAAATTGAGTCAAGGTTTATTTGCAAAAGTTGTGAACAATGCCATAAGAGTAAGCACTTGGCCAAAGGAAAGGGGATGAAAAGACCCAAGACTATAGTAACCACATGTCTTTCCTGAGACTCTGCTAATCTCAGAGAACGGGGCTCTATGCTGCTCATTGGTGAGGAGGAGGACATCAAAGGGACATTTCCAGTTATGGTAGTTTGGAGAAATACAGTATTAATGGGCTCATTTTTTTGCCTGCTTTCATTAATAAGTGATGGTTATTATCCTATAGGTCAATGACAAGAACCAATGATGATCAGCTCCACTTCAAAATTTAATGCCAATAGATTAAAGAAAAAGTATACTGGTGGTTTCATCTATTTAGATATGCCACAACTTATGGAAAGTCTATAAACTGCATTCCGTAGCCATTTAGCAAACAGATCATCCCCAGTTAAAACCATGTACTGTATTCTAGTAGGCACTGGAGATAGGAAAAAAGATTTAGGATTTCATCTTTCCCTTAAGCAGCTCACAGTACAGACATCAGTATGTAAAAAAAACAAAACAAAACAAGTGCTATATAGCGCAATAAGTGACAGAATAGTGGTATTATACAATATAGCATAGTCACAAAGAAAGTAGAAGAAACAACTTAGGGAGGTCGAGAATGGCTTCAAAGAGTTAACTCTTAGAAGGAAAACGGGGATTTTCCTGGTTGAGAGGGAATGTAATGTGGGCAGAGAGTACAGTATGACCAAAGGCACCAAGGCTTGAAAAATGTATGTCATGTCATCAGGTGGGAGGAGAGGATGTTTCGAGATGGCACTGGAAAGGTAAGCAAGAGAAGGTCATGTCTTCCATGCTGAGCAGTTTGTATTTTTGCTTCCAGTTAAGAGGAGACATTACAAGATTTTAAGGAGGAAAATCACATGACAAGATTTGCATTAGGTAAAGGTAAGTGCAGTGTTATTTGCAAGAAGAATTGAAGAAAAGCAAGAGGGAGGTAGGAAGTCCATGTAAGGAGCTATTGCCTTTGTCCAGATAAGAAGTAGTAAAAGTCTGAACCAGGTTATTTGTGGTGGAGTTGGAAAGTAGAGGATGGATTCAAAATCTCTTTTAAGTAGAATCTAAGAATTTAGTAGCTGGATGTGGGTTTTTTTCTAAAAAAAGTACTATATTCATGATTACTCCCAGGTCTCTAGAGCTTGCAAGCTGGCTATATGATGGAAATTTGGAGGGAGACTAAGTTGAAGACTGAGTATGGTTTTGTACACATATAACACAGTTTGATCCCTTAAATACTTAGAGATACCTAATGAACCAGGACCTCAGGAGAGATAGCTAGTATACAGATTTGGAAATCACACTGGTGGTTAAAACTCTCAACATGAATGAGATCACCTAGAACTGGTGTGTAGAGTAAGAGGAGAAATGGATCTAGATCCTGTACCAGAAGATAATTGATATTTTGGGGATAAGAGAATTAAAAAAGCCTACAAAGAAGACTGAGACAGACCTGTCTGAGAGAGAGAATGAGAAGAGTTGTCATGGGGGTCAAGTGAGAACATTTCAGGAAGAAGTAAAGACAACAATATAAAATGTCAAAGGGATATCAAAAGACAAACTGAAGAGTCAGTGGAAGTGGTGTCTTTTTCAGAATATGTTTCAGTTAAATTATGGGAACAGAAGCTTATTAAAGTAGATGGAATTGTGACTGGGAAGTAATGAAGAGGAGAGAGTGAGTGTGGGGAGAACTTCTGGGGACTTTATTCTAACAGGGGGGTGAGCCAGAGCACTGTAGAGATGGGGACAGGAGAGTCAGGAGATGGTCCTTTAAGAAAGAAGAGACAAGAGCATATTCATAGGCAATGAGGAAAGGAGAAGATGAAATCTCAAGAGAGGGTAGGGCAGGATGGAATGAGGTTCTGGAGAAAAAAATAGGAGCAGCAACAGCATAAACAGAGGAATCAACTGTGACCAGAAGCAACTACTCCCTATGAGAAAAAGACAGTGTAGTGGGCACTACACAGTCTTGAACAACTGGCAGTTTTAAGCCAAATCTCACATTGCAAAACTTGGACAGAATTTTTTTTTTAACTTTTGTACTGATCTTTGTTTCCACATTCATTTTGTGTAATCCCTACAAAAACCCTTTAAAGCAAACAGAGTGGGATATTTGCTTGTTTGTTTTTGAATTTGGTGTTCTAGCCTCCATCTTACAAGAGTAAAATGAAGCTTAAGATTATGATTCATTCAAGATCATAGAATCAGTATATGACATAAACTAAGGACTCTCAGTACAGTGCTTTTCCCAACACCTCAGAAACAGTCATGAAGAATTCAGTGTTATGGTGCAGAGGCAGCCTGACAACACTTGAAATTCAGACAGGAGAATCCCTGCCCACAGTCACTTCATTGATTGACAGCAGACACGCTTGGTTGCCTGAAGGTCTCTGACAGCTAATAGGGAAGTGAATGCTGTATCTTCTCTTGAGATGACCTGGGTATGTGCAACCTTTGAAATGTTTCTTTAACATTAGAGGAAGATTTTAGACTTTTCTTACTTTACCAGTATGAACAAGGAGAACATTTGGTTAATATAAGTGCTTTACTATTACTTGAAAGGACCCCCCTCACCCCTTTCTTATGCTGTCAGGTAAAACTGAAGTATGTGGAATTAACAGCCCCAAGCATATCACTGACAACTTCACTAGGAAAGAGGAAAAAGAGACCCCTTGCCAATCTCCCTCTTCATGAACAGGAGCACTGCCCTTTAGCATAAAATATGAAAGGAGGTTTCTATAGTTGTGCCAACTCAGCAAGAGAAAAAATTAACCCCACGTGTTCTTATGCCAGTTGCCTCAGCATGGGTGGGGAAGGAGGGACCAGAGTTACAGATTGTCAGCATGAGACACAGAGCAAGCTCATTGTGTATGGCTTAGAAGGAATCACAGACTCCCCAGATACGAACACATTTCTAGATTCATCATACATTTTCTAAGGTTCTCTATAAGTCCAGATAATCTGGCAGAAAAAAACCACCCCTTTAAATGATTTCTTCTTCTGTTTAAATTTGGAAATGTGTGGTAGAAATCAGCATTTAAAAAAAATGAACAGTTTCAATTATATTCAATAGAATGTCTCCATTTAATTAATTCACTTAGTCCCTGGGTGACACTGGGTGTGGCTCAGAGAGATTTAGGAGGAATCCAATTTATAACTAGGAGGAATTGTCTGCATCAAGCAGCGAGGCGGCATCCTTCCACACCTTTCCAGTACTGCAAGGAAAGGAGAGGTTGGAATTCTAAACCACAGATCACACTCTCTAAGATCAGAATTATTTGCTGTATGAAGAAAAAGGCAGATGTTGGTATGGGTGAAGGGTGGGGGCTGAGGGGCTACTTGCTTGTATTGGTAGTCTTTACACTTCAGTTAAAGTCCTTAGTTTTAAACAAAGGAAATACCTCATAGTTTTCTGGCTTCATGGACTCAGATCCTATCTTGCAAGTTTTTCATCATCTGCAATACACATGGTAATTAAGCTATTTAAAGTTAGCCCCAAGATATTTGAAAATCATAAGCCAATAAAATCTCAGGGATTCTTTTATTTTATTCCTCTTTTGCCTATTCCTTTATGATCTTCCCATCTCCACCCCACTGCCATTCTCTTCTTCCTGCTATAATAATCTACAGTGGTAGGTAATTAATGGTCAATAAAGATCATTTATGCTTTCTTCTCACTCACTGGCAATGTATTACAACTCAGAAATCCAAGATTGCTTCTTTATGCCGCTCAAGTGGAAGAGGAAGGAAGTGCAATCTCTCCAGCCCCCTCCCATGTTTCTGCTGGATTTTATGGGTGTGGCCGAGTTCAGACCTTTGCAGGTTTTTGCCCTTGTTCCATTCCCTGTTAGGGGCTAAAATGATGCCAGAAGAAATATAAACACAATCAGATTCTGCCATGTATGATACAGGATCATTTCACCCACAAGCAGGAAACCTGTGTGAGACTTAAGTACTCACACTATATAAATGCCAGTCAGTATAGTATGGAGCCCACACCCTGAATACATTATTTCCTTCAGTTTGATTTAATACTATCCTACCTACTGACTTATGTGAAGGATATACAGCAGTGGTAAAGAGGGAACAGGACCATTTCACACAGAAGCCCATGTTTATAAAATGCATGGGCAAAATAGAACACTTTCTATACCTTTCATTTTCTCTCTTGAATATAAACTATGCTAAAACACAAGCAGGCATATGGAAGCCATACAGAGTACATGCGTGACTATTGTATATGAAGTGTGCAGATGCTATACACATTTAGTGCTAATTTCTATGACCTCCAAACACAAAATTTCAGCTTCATCACTTTGCACATCCCACTGAACACGTGGGGCTGCCACTGAGATAGCACCCTAGTGAAGGCAGCTTCCCCCTTTGGGGGAAGGGAATTCCTTTAACCCCAATTCTCTTTCTAAAAATCATGCCTGGTTTCCTTTGTCAAAGGGGGATATGCATGTACTTGTAAGTGTATACATAAAGTGGCAAAAAGTTGTGATGCAGCATATCTTTATTTCCAAAAATTAAAGCTATTTCAAATGAATACCACTGGCTTCCTTAGGGCTTCGCCTTCCTAAATTGTATTTGCTCAGCTCATCAGTGGGGCAACCTCAGGACATTTCCTTGACAGTGTGCTTAACCTAGCCACCTGTATCTATTGCATTTATGTATTAGAATGAAGGCCAGGAGAAGTGTCCTGGTTTGAAAAATGAGCCAAAGGAAGCATCAATCTCTAGAGCCATGGAGCAGTTTAGGGAAGTGCCGCATGTAAGGCTTTCATGCTCTTCCCCACACACCTCTACACAAACCACACACAAAACCCCAGGTGCCTGCTCGCTCCTTCCTTCCTTCCTTCCTTCCTTCCTTCCTTCCTTCCTTCCTTCCTTCCTTCCTTCCTTCCTTCCTCCCTTTTTCTCTTTCTTTCTCTCTTTCTTTTTCTTCCTTTCTTTCTCTTTCCTCTTTCTCACCTTTCTTTTTGTCTCTCCACCCACTGCTCTGATACTCTGCTTCTGTCTCCTTTCCCTTTCCTCTTCCTTCTCTTACATCCTTACTCCCCTCCCCTCCTTTCTGGGCGCTGGCTAAATGTTCAAATCTAGCAGGCTGTTTCTTCTCCACTCGCCTCCTTCACCCCCTTCGGATTAGCAAGTGTATTACAAATTGCCCAATATCCAATACCTGCACAGGAATAATGCCCAATTCCTATCTCTTGCACCCCACCCCTAAGGCAATCTGCAAAGGGCTCCTTTGACCAAGACTGCCATCCCCTCCCAAGGGCGCGCGCACACTCACGCACAAGCACACCCTCGCCCATTTTGCCCCGTAACCTTCGCCAAAATCACTCAAATGTGTTCCAATAAATGTTTGAAAGCCTCATTCGGCGAATGTCAGGGCACCGTGGGCTCCAGAGGAATAACATACTCGTCGTTCCTCCTCACCCTACTCCAGTCAAGTTTCTAAAATGTCTTTCAAGAAATAAGTGAGCAATTTGAAATGGAAGAAAAACCTGGGCAATGCGGGAGGAGGGCGGGGACTGGAATTCTTGCTCATCTTGTATGTGTCCCTCTTCCTGATGAAAATGAGTCACCATGCTTATCTAGAATGTTAGCCTCACTCTGGCCACTGACAATCCCAGGAAAAATGCAAGAGAAGGGGAGGAAAGACCTGATTTCCAACAGGTAATACTCGGCTGGTCTTTCCCATCCCATCCGAGCTCAAAGCTCCTAGGGGCGTGGTCCACCATCTCCTCCGACCAGCTGGTGCACAATCGCTAAGGGGATTTTCCCCTTCCACCCGGACAATTTGTCCCTCAGCCCTCGTTGCCTTTAGATTCTCTTTTTGAAAAATAAGCATCTCCCAAATCACAGTTTCATTCATTGAAAAATAAATAAATAAACAAATAAATAAATAAATAAAACCTTCACATGTTCTTCCATTAATACCTGCGCCCATTTGAAGCTCAGGCGTATAGGAAGGAAGGCTTCTCCCGCAGCACATGTGAGAAAATTGTGAGACAGAACAAGCAATACTCATTACTGAATGTCATTCTTTCAGCCTGCTTTTTGCAAATATAAAGGGTTGCCTCCCCCTCTTGTAGATAGAGCCCTCATCTTTTCCCCCACACCCATTTCTACATTCACACCAGCAAAACCAGACCTGAAATGCTAAACATTTACTAATAGCACCCCCCACCATCGTATTTCTAGCCAAACCGGCATATTTTTTTCTAACCTCATCTTAATTAGTAGCAGCAATTCAAAACCAGAGCATAAGAGACAGAAGAGAATAAAAGCTGGGATGCAACCGGCAGTTACCATATGCTAAGGAAAAGAGAGCACCATGGCCAGAGCAGAAGCAGTTAAAATATTTTTTTTTCTGCCTGTACAGGGAAACACTGTGCTCTGGTAATTTCACAACAGCAAGAAGTAAAAATCTTTAGCTCTACCTGTTTGGTTCTTCTCATACAGCACAGCATGGTTGTATCCTCCCTTGCCTTCTTCCTGCCTTCTCTCCTTTCCTCCTCTCTTTCTTATTTCCCCCCCTCTCCACCTCTTTTCTGCTCGCTTGCTCACTCGCTCTCTCGCGCTGCGCGCTCTCTCTCCCTCCCTCCCTTCCTCTCTCTCTCTCCCTCACACACACCAGGGCAGTTAGCAGCAACTGTAAGGTCCACAGCTATTGCTCGTTGCACATGCCTCTCTCTCTCCCCCTCTCTCTCCCTCTCTCTCTCTCTCCCTCTCTCTCTCTCTCTCTCTCTCTCTCTCTCTCTCTCTCTCTCTCTCTCTTCCCTCTTCCTCTCCCCACCTACTCTCTACCTTTCTTTTTCTCCCCTGTCTCTCTCTTTCTCAGAATTGTTCTCTAGCTTTCAATGACTAATCACTTCCCCAGCCCCCACCCTCTTTCTAGACAGTCGCCCCCTCCCAGTCCCCTGCCAGCCTCATGAATATTTAAACATCTCCAATCTGGACCCAATTACCCACCGACTTTTAGGCTGTGTTGAGAGGGTGTTGGGGTGAGGGCAGAGAAGGATATTCCAGTTGGTTCAGGAGACTGGGTGGAATGTGTTTTATGGAAGAGGGGCCTGGAGAATGCTTGTATTTCTTTACTAACTCTTTTCTTTTCCCAATATCATTAAAGCAAAGAACAGCTATTCTGAATGAGTAGTCAGACCTGTACGGTTAACATGTTATATCTGCTATTCAGCTTTTATACACAGTTAATAATTGTGAGGGTTAAATTCTCTCAAAAAATAAAATAACATGTAAATATTATACATTGTATCTATATGGTACTCAGTGATCATATTACCTAAAATAAATAACATATATAAGGCAAAATATGCACAAACATATCTCATGCATGCTCTAACATTCTAAAATAGTCCACATAAAAATATTGCATTTTAACATTCTAAACACATGAGTTCAGAAATAATACCCAGTGTTTAGAAATTAGCAACTGTCTAAAATCACATGGTAGTTTTTTTCTTAATGGATATACACCCGTTTGAAAATTGGAGTTTCTTTGAATTTTACTGAAAATAACTGAGCACATTTAAACACCAAGTCTGTATGATATTAATGGTAATCCAAATGATATGTTACAATCTGGGCAAGAAGAATAAAAGTAAACTCATCTGTTATGAGAAGCAGAGATGTATCATGAAACCCACTTCCTCGCTTCCTCCTATGGTCTTGTAATTCATGTAAAGAAAAAGCTGACTTTTAAAGAAGTGTAAACAACACAATTTTCAGATACATAGTACTGTGTGATTTTGGAAATGTTACCCAACCTGTCTGCACCTAATTTTTTAATTTCTAAAATAAGGGTAATAATGCCAACTTATTATTGGCAAAGACCAAATAATAACATGTATGCAAAGCACAACAAAGCCATTCTCAATACATAGTAGATTTACCTCAGAGGATGTACTTTTCTGAAATTTTGGTGAAATTTTCAAGTACCATCTCAAAAAACTTGTTAAACTATTTCTTGTTTTTTTATTAGTGATGCTAAGCATCCCCAATTAAATAGCTCATATTTTTTCTAGTCCTTCCCAGACATGAGCCTATTTAATAGGTGTCAACCAGACAGCTTATTATCATATATATTATCAGTATCACTGAGCTTAATATGTGCGAAATACATTTGAACAAAATTCAAGGTACACTCCTCTCAGAATGGACTATCTCAGAGAAACAGACACCCAAGGGGTGATCATTATCAATTATCCCCAGAGGTCTTCCTGGGCCTCGTCTGCTTCAGATCTAGCCTTACTTGGTCTTTCATTCTCAATTTGCTTCTGAGTTTTCATATATTATGATTAAAATACAGAGTTAGGTTCTGAGTTTAATATTTTTAATGTAATGAGCCCAGTCAGAGCCAAGCTTTCAAAATCAGCATTCTGTGGACTTAAGTGATAGAAGAAGGTAGAGGAAGGGGGGAAATGGCTTCATCAGAGACATTCTGGTTGTGGATTAGGATCACCCTACCTAGCCTGCCAGGAGCAGGAGAGTGATAAAGGAAAGAAGCAGAGGGGGTAAGGACTGAGGGCAAGGGAGCAGAATTGCTTTTTCTGGTGTTTAAACAGACTTATACTAAAATCATTTTGTTAACTATGTGGCCCAGCATAGGCAGCTAACACTAGCTCACATAGTAGGCCATAAAAAGAAGCCAACTCCTGTCCTTTCAATGCACTGCCCTGAGCCCTCCCATTTATAATTTATTTTCCTTTTTATTCATTGGAAGAAAACACGGACCCAAGTGGCATAATGAAATCAGAGTCTAGAGCGCAAGACTAGGCATAAGCCTGGATGAATTTTGTGACTAAAATATGTTAAGCCACACCTCTTTGCATCAATTTCCTCAGTAGTTCACATGCATTTTTTCATCTAATACTCTAAATGAGGTCATTGCAATTATTAATCCTATTTTGATGGAGATACTGAAGCTAAGTAAATTAAGTACCTAGACTAGGTCATGCAGGTAAAAGAGGTAAAGTTATAACTCCAAAACCCTGTTAGCTACTAAAATACGTTGCTACTCAGTGGGCCTCTACACCTTTTTACTTCTGGTCCTTAAAATATTAGACAATGTAGTGAAAATTGTTGTGTTAAAATGAAATTAGCATTCTGAAAGGTTCACTTTTTAGGCCCAGCCCTTACCTCAAGGGCCATGAAGAGCAAGCTGATACCTTCCTCCAGTAGCCAGCCCTTCATATATCTCTGACCAAACACTAGCTATTCCAACCTCCCTCAGGGGCCTTTGTCTTTACAGCCCTGCTCATTTCGGATACCTCCCTCTGGACGTACTACATTCTGTCATGAGCCTCTGAAAATTACTTCCCAGAAGGGAACTCAAGATTCCAAATTTAATTTGAATAATATAGAATCAATTTCAATACTTATTTTTTCCCCTTTAAGCAAAGGAAGTTATGGGATGGTAAAGGAATGAGGGAGAGAAAAGCAGACTTTATGTGATCTTGGCAATATATATTTTATATATAAATAAAATAACCAGTATTATTTTGATTCCCACCAATAAATCCAATACTCTTATAGCCAATCCCAGAAAATGTCTAGGCTTAAACTCCATGATTGGACCTTATATAATTTTAGATTAGCAGATTAACTCATGAGACCATTGGGTAATTTTCTGGCTATGGGTTAGGCAATAACACCATTCTAAAAGAAGATGAAGAGTAGTAGAGGCCAGGACCCATTTCTACTCTCATATCTCTTTGAATTTCACTCTAAATTGATATTGTTTTCCTAATAAACCCAAAAGGTATTGGGCTTTACTAAGGGCTACATTTGTCTTTTTACTCCCCCTTCCAGGAGTTTTTTTTTTTTTTTTTAACTTTGAGTCTTAAACTTTTTCTTGCTGTATTAGTTTGCTAGGGCTGCCATAACAAAATACCACACACTATGGGGCTTAAACAGCAGAAACTTATTTTCTCACAGTTCTGGAGGCTGGAAGACCAAGGTCAAGGTGCTGGCAGGGCTGGTTCCCTCTGAGGACCATAAAGAAAAGACTTATTTCCGACGGTTCTCCTTGGCTCACTGAAGGCCACCCTCACACAGCCTTGTCTCGTGGTGGTCCCTCTGTGCATGGTCACTCCGGGTGTCTCTCTGTGTCTGAATTTCCTATTACCAAAGGACATCAGTCTGACTGGATTACAGCCCACACACATGACCTCATTTAACCTTAATTATCTCTTTAAAGGCCCTATTTCTAAATGTAGTCAGTCACATTCTGAGGTACTGGATTTAGGTCTTGAACATATGATTCTTTTTTTGCAGGGGTGGGGGGCACAATTCAGCCCAAAAACCTGCATTCTCTATCAGTACTTTCTGACTTTATTCATATATTCAACATCTTCTGTGTTGCAAAAACATCCTGCCCTCAAGGAGATACACATAGATGAAAAGCAAAACAAATGCTGTTTTAATTAAACAGGATTTGATGCCAAATGTGTGTTATAAGAATTCAGAATAGGAAAGAAATCACTGTGGACCAGGGTAGGTCTTTCATTTCATGATTGGGATTTGAATGAGTGGAGAAAGAACAATGAATTTTAGAGAAGGGAAAGGCATCACATTAGAAAAGGTAAAATGCAAATAATCACAGCATGATCAATGGACTGTTAATATACAGAAGAGGGGAAGCTGTAAAGGAGAACCTTCCAAGAGAGAACCTTGGAAGGGTAGGCTACACACCCAGATTAAGAAGGACCTGAAGGGTCAGAATAATGGAGTGCATTAATGTCCTAGGTCTGCCATAAGAAATTTCTATAAAATCGAAGGCTTAGAACAGCAGAAATTTATTCTCTCATATTTTTCCAAGTCCAAATTCAAATGTAGGCAGGATTAGTTCCTTCTGGAGGCTCTGAGAAAGAATCCATTCCATACCTTTCTCCTAGCTTCTAGTGGCTGTGGGCAGTCCTTGCCATTACTTAGTCTGAAGATGCATCATCACTCCAATCTGCCTCTTCCCAGATGGCTTGCACCTCTTTTTATAAGGACACCTGTCATTGAATCTAGGATAAGGATGATCTTATCTCCAGATCCTTAACTTAATTATATCTGCAAATACCCTTTCCCCCAAGAAAGATTACATATACAGGCATTGAGGGTTAGAACTTGGATGCAGCTTTTTGAGGTACACAAGGCAACCCACTACAGAGGATCAGACATATGTTTGTGAGGATAGACATTTTAGAGAATGCCTGTGTGAAGCTATATAGTATGGGATGGAGAGAAAGATGTAATGGGGTCCAGTAAGAGGAACAGGGAATCATTCTAATGCTTAGATCAGGAAGAGAAAGTGAACTGTTACTTGTTGAGTGCCTAGCATGTTCCAGGTATGACATATTTTATGCTTTACATATTCTGTTTCACCCCACAGAAGAATATTCAGGGGAAAGAGAAAAAATATTGAAGATTGCACTTGGGAAGCTTGGAGAATGAGACTATAAAATTCAGATGTGAGGAGGTCCAGAAAGGGACCTGGTGTTGTGAGAAAGGTGATGAGTCAGTTTTGATAGTGTTCATTTTATGGAAGCATTGAAATGTTCAAGTGCAACACCAGATCAGATTTAAGAGAGAAGGCTCAGAAGTTGTCTGAGCCTGCCAAAATTTTCCAGGCAGACATGGCTGCCTCAGGCTCCAGAGGGACAGGAGCCTTTCTGGTATGATGTCACCATATTA